GGAGGCCAAATTTTGATTCGAGGAAATCTCAAGCAACATGATTATCCTTGAGATCTCTCTCTCTCTCTCTCTCTCTCTCATCTCATCTCTTCGCTCTCTCTCTTCTCATCATGTTCCCCTCTCTCTCTCTCTCTCTACTCTCTCTCATCTCTCTCTCTCCTCTCATACCGAGTTCGTCCCAACTCCGCTCTGTCTGCTCCCTCCACCCTCCTTCTCCATCCAGAATCTTCGTCCTCTCTCTCCTCCTCTCTCTCTTCTCCTCTTCTCGTCGTCGTCGCTCACTCTCATCTTTCCTCTACCTCTCTCCTCGCTCTCTTCTCTCTCTCTCTCTCTCCCTCTCTATCCTCGCCTCTTCTTGCCCCCCGCTCTAACTGACGTCCAATGTTCAGCCTACGAGGTCTCTCTCTACTGAGCTGCAGTGTGCAAGACCTCTCCGCGCTCTATACTCCTGCACGACTTGATATTCTCCTTATACATCCTCTCTCTCTGCTCAAGCTGAGCTGCTGAAGCAGAGCTGCTCAAGCAGATGGCTGCTCATGAGAGCAGAACCAGGCAATGAGACCTTCGAGAATGTCTCAAGCGAACCCAGTGTTTCTTCGAAGATGTCTCAAGCGAATCAAGCATGTGTTCAAGGATGTCTGAGGCGAAGCGAACAATTCTGCAAGAACGTCTCGAGCGAGGCCAAATGTTGATTCGAGGAAATCTCAAGCAACAGCACCAGATGCTTATTTCAAGCAGATCCAGCAGCGATGTCCAAGCATCGACTCGACAAGCATCGAGTCGAGAACAACATTCGTGATTAGCCTCCTTGGCTCAAGCCTTTCGAGCAAGGCTTTCGAACCTCTCGAGCAGGCCACCACTCCAGCAAGCCTTTCGAGCCTGTCGCGCCTCACGCACGATGCGCACGCCTGTCAAGCGGCAGTCAAGCTTGTCGAGCTTGCGGGGCCTTTCAAGTCCGAGCCCGGCGGACACTCCGACCTCTCACAAGAAGCTTCGAGCCTCGCCTCACTTGTCCGAAGAGGCCAAGAGCAATTTCTTCAAGGATCTCGAGCACAAGAGGATCGAGGCGGAGCAGGCCGAGAAGGAACGCCTCGCAGCCGCAGCTGAGCGCCGAGCGAAGGCGAGCGCCGAGGGCAAGGTGCTCGACCCCGCCGACTTCGGCCGAGGCGTCGCCCGAGGACCGACCAAGGGCGGCAGACCCGAGGGCACGAATCGCAAGTACACGGGGACGCACAAGCCCCGAGCAGCTCCCACCCTGCGCCGAGACCCAGCAGCGCAGTGCAAGCCCCAAGTCGCCCTCGACTGGCGCAAGCAGGCCGAGAAGCACGAGGTCGCGGACATCAGCCAGCTGCCGAGCAACGTCAAGGCGCAGCTCATCGAGAAATGGCACTGGCCCTACCTCACGGTCAAGAGCTGGACCGAGAAGAGAGCGGCTTTCGAGAAGCCGGTCGCCTCGGAGAGGCTCGGCAAGAACGGCCTCCGAGCCTGCGGCCGAGTTCGGCCAAACGCGGTCAAGGCAGGCAAGAGCCAAGGCGCGAGGATCCAGAGCTACACTCCTGGCCGAGCATGCCCCAAGCGCCCCCTCGAGGGAGTCATGGGCCGACTCGAGGCCCGGTTCAAACGAGAACGCATGTGCGGCCACGAGGTCCGCCACAAGACGATCCCAACGAGACTCAAGTACGAGCTCGAGTGGGAGAGAGACAAACAAGAGCACCTCAAGGACGTGAGCCACGCCTTCTTCAACTCCCAGATCCTCGCCCGAGTCACCAAGCGGCTCCAGACCTTCAATATCAACAACCTCTGCCGCAAGGACTCCAAATGGATCGAGGAGACCGTTCTCCCGAGGCTCCACGCTGTCGGACGGAAAGGCCAACGCCTCTCCGAGCAGCGCAACAAGGGCCTTTCCGAGTCCAAGGCCAAGTTGACGTGGGCCACGAGCGACCGCTTCATCCACCTCGTTTCCAGGGGCACGGCCGAGGAACTCGCCAGGTTCGTCGGGGACACCGAGAGCTTCATCGAGAACAGGCAAGCCACGAGCGTCGTCGTGGTCGACGCCACCGCGCTGCGGCTCAAGCTCAGGGGCGAGGAGAAGATCTACCACCACCAGAACGAGCTCGAGGGTCCTAGCCACAAGGCTCGAATCGAGAAGCTCCGCCGCAAGTTCCGCGAGACGCAGACCGAGGCAGACAAGGCAGCTTGGGAGATGGAGAAAACCAAGTTCTACGAGGAGCACGGCGACCAGAAGGAGCAAGTAGAGCAAGCGTACTCCAGCGCAGGCGACAAGTATCGCCTCACGCTGATCAACATATCGAGCGTCGCGAATTGGCTCGAACCAACCAAGGACCCCATGTCGAACAAGAAGCGCTCGATCCTGCTAGTGCCCTGTGCGAGGCACTGCAAGATCTCCGATGTGGACCTCGAGAGCGGCAAGTGGCTCCGTGACGTCAGTTACGAGCGAAGCGACGGCGAGGCCGAGGTCTTCCGAGCAGGCGAGAACATCGGCCATATTCTCAAGGGTTGGCGCCAAGCCCTCCTCGAGTTCGACCCCGAGCAGCGCGCCAAGATCTTCGAGCAGATTGACATCTGGGGCCAGCCTCGAGCTTGGACCGACGAGCTCATCGCGAGCTGGACGATCGACTTTATCCAAGCCAAGCACGGCCAAGCTCTCGTGTTCGCCGACTGCCTCTCGAGCCAGTGGACCGAGGCCGTCGCGCTCCGAGCGTGGCTCAAGCAGATCGTCTTCGCGCCGATGGCTCCAGAAGTGACGAGCTTCCTCCAGGAACCCGACGCGCACGAGCACTCGCAGCTCAAGGCAACCATTCGCGAGGTGAAGTCCGAGATCCACTGGGCGATCGAGCAAGACTGGATGCAGGAGGTCAAGGCCGAGCCCGATAAGAACTACAAGTACCCGAGCAACTGGGGACCATGCGAGTGCATCTACTGCATCTCCGAGGCGTGCAAGCGCTTCCGCGCGAAGAACGCCGAGACCGTCCCACTGCAAGGCATGCAAGCGAACCAGATGCTCGCAGCGAGGCCGGGAGAGGCGGAGGACGAGGAGGAGGGGGAGGAGGAGAGGAGGAGGAGGAGGAGGATGAGATGGAGGAGGAGGAGGATGGACGGAGGAGTAGAAGAGGACGAGGAGGAGGAGAGGGAGTCGCTCGGCGAGGAGGAGGAGGAGAAAGAGGAGAACAAGGAAGAGGAAGATCTCGAGCCTTGAGCTTCAACCCCCAGCGAATTCAAGAAAACCCTTCGAGGATTGCCGAGAAGGGTCCCAAGATGACCCCAAGCATTTCTTCGATGTTGTGTCAAGCGAAATAAGCAATAATTTGAAATGTCTCAAGCGAAATAGATAATAGTTTGAAGATGTCTCACATGAAATAAGCAATAAGATGAGGATATTTCAAGCGAAATAGCGATAGTTGTATGATGTCCCAAGCAATAGTTTGAGGATGCCTCCAGCGAAATAAGCAACAGTTTGAGGATGTCTCACGCGAAACACAATTAGTTCGAGGATGTCTCAAGCGAAATAAGCAATAGTTTGAGGGTGTCTCAAGCGAAATAAGCAATAGTTTGAGGATTCTCAAGCGAAGTACGCAATAGGTTGAAGATGTCTCAAGCAATACTTTGAGGATGTCTCCAGCGAAATAACTAAGCAATCGTTCTCCTCTCCTCTTCTACTTTCTCCTCTTCAGGTGTTCTTCTTCCTTTTATTTTCATGTTTCATGTTTATCTTTTTTCTTTTTTCTTTTTTTTTATTCTATATGTTTCTTTTAGTTTTTGTTTCTGTCTGACTCGCTATCTCTTTCTCTCTCTATCTCTCCCCGCGCGCCCCTGAACTTGTTTATCCCTGGGGTGGATTATCCACGGAAAGTGGGGCGCACGTGAGCTACCCTACACGAGCACTAAAAAATTTTAAGTTTCATAAAGCGCTTGTAAATAAAATTTAATACCTTTGAATCTTCAGATTTTTTTGTGTTATCCTCCTTTCCTCTTCTCTTTATCCTTTTCATGTATTGTTCTTATTTTCTTTTTAAATATATATTCTCTCTTTAAGTCCTTCCTGTCTTTTTCCTTTATGATGTTATCTTCTCTTTTGTTTTCTCTCTTCTCTCTCTCTTGTTCTCTCTCTCTCCTCCCTTCTCTCTCTCCTCTCTCTCTCTCTCTCTTTTTTTTTTTTTTTTTTTTTTTTTTTTTTTTTTTTTTATTTTTTTTTTTTTTTTTTTTTTTTTTTTTTTTTTTTTTTCTCTCTCTTCTCTCTCTCTTTTCTTCCTCTCTCTCTCTCTCTCTTCTCTCTCTCTCTCTCTCTCTCTCTTCTGCTTCTCCTCTATGTATTCTCTCTTCTCTCTCTCTCTCTCTCTCTCTACTCTCCTCTCTCTCCTCTCTCCTCTATCTCCTCTCTCTCTCTCTCTCTCTCTTCTCTCTCTCCTTCTCTCTCTCTCTCTCTCTCTCTCTCCATGCCCCCCCCCCCTCTGATTTTTTTTTATCCCTGGGGTTGATTATCCATGGAAAATGAAGCACATGAGCTACCCCTGGCCCGGCCGCCGCTGTGCGCGGGGCCCTTGTCGGGCCCAACCTGAAGGCGGGGCTCTGGCGCGGGGCGGAGCTCTTCGCGCAGTACCTCGCCTTCTCGCACGGGGTGCCATCCTGCCCTGACTGCAGGCTCACGTGTCCGGGGGCCAACCTCACGTGCCCTCCCTGCCCGGTGGCCAACCTGAGCTGCCCCGCCCCGGTGGTGCAGCTTGCGTGCCCCCAGCCGCCGCCCGTCAACCTCTCGTGCCCCGCCGTGCACCCCTTGCGGGCCGAGGGCGACGTCCTCGGCTTCGACGGAGCTTCCGTGGCCGTCGGAGGCATCACGGGCGCTCTGGGGGCGACAGCTTCGCGGGCTCGTCGGGGCCGCCGCCGCCGCCGCGCGGCTGTCGAGGGGGACGCGGACTTGAGCGAGCTGGCGCGGGCGCAGGTGGCGCAGGTGAGGCGGCGCCCGCCGCTTCGTCAGGCGTGAGATGGCCGCCCCAGGGGACTGGCTGCTGATCAGGTACGAGGTTCCGGGGCCCGAGATCTTCCATGAGCGGGTGGTCACGGGCGTCTCCGAGACGGAGCCGTCGCTGGCGGCCAACTACACCAACGACGGCGACCACTATGCCGAGGACGCGAGCCAGCAGAATGACGATATCGCCGAGGTGAGGTGGATAGCTCGGCCTGGAGACACTCCCGCGGGCGTGGACCCGAGACGCGTCTACGGGTTTCCGCCCGACGCTGCCTTGATGGAGCAGCTCAAGCGGGACGGTGCGCTCATGGTCGGGGGCCGCGTCGGGCAGGTGGCGCCAGCCCTGGCGGGGGGCGCCCCGCAGGCCGCGGCGGGAGCACCCGGCGCTGGAGCGGGCGCGGCTCGTGGCCCGGGGATCGCGGGCGCGGTCGGGCGCGCGGGCGCAGCCGCGCCCCCAGTTCCGCCCCTCCACCCCACCCCCTCCCTCCTCCCCCCCCCCCCCCTTCCCTGGTGATGGTGTTTTGTTGGCTGTTGGTTATTGGTTGGGTTTATTGCTTGGAGTATTGGCTTCTGGCTTGGTGGTTGTGGTTGGTTTGGTGGTGGCTTTGTCTGCTTTGGGATTTTTTTATTTATGGTCCTTTTTGGTTGGTTGGTTGTGTGTGGTGGTTGTGTGGGTTGGTTGGTTGTGGTTTTGGCGACTTTTTTTTTCTTTATTTTTGTTTTTAGCCGCTCTGGGTCGCCACGGAGGACTACCACGGCTACACCAGGGGGCAGCAGCTCCCCGACCCGCTCCCTGACGGGTCGACCATCGTGGGTGACTGCGCGGTGGTCGAGCTCCCAGCTGGCAAGATCGTGGCCCGCCTCGTCGCCCGCCGCGACCTGGACAGCTACGTGGTCGACGACCTCAGGGTCATGCACGTGAAGTTCAACGGCGCGGGGGTGCGGCGGAGGCCTTTCGCCGAGGCGGTCGACAACCAAGTCGCTGACGAACCCGAAGGTGGAGTTATGGTGCAGGGGCCCCGCACCGCCCTGCCCCTCGCGCGCTCCTGGCGCGATGCTGGGCTTTCGGCGGTGACCCACCATGAGAGCTGGGTGAGGGGTGCGAGGATCCCCGAGGGCGACCGCTCGGTGCACGAGCACGAGATGATATGTCGGGTCTTGGAGTCCATGCTGACTGTGGACCAGCTCAACATCGGCGCCTTGCAGTCTGCAGAGCTGCTGGCGCGCCGCCTGCAGCTCATCGAGGATGCTCATCGGGGGTCGCCCTCGAACCCTGACTACTCGGCGGCCGACTTGTGCATGGGGCTCCAGACTCGGAAGGATGGTGCTTCAGTCGTACCAGCGTTCCAGAAGTACGTCGCGGAGAGCCTCAAGGACGAGGTCGCCATCCAGAAGGAGAAGCGCAAGGCGAAGGAGGAGGCCAAGCTCAGGAAGTCCGGCAAGCATCCCCCAGGCGGAGGTGGGGGCGGAGGGCAATGACTTCCTCAGGCTGGAGTTTCGGGCCGCGCTCCTGCCGGCAACAGGCCCCCGAGCGGGAACGACCCGCCGCAGTTTTGTCCGCTCAGCCAGACCGCCAGCGAGATTTCTTCCCGCTGCCGAGGGTCGAGGTGGCGCCACCCACGAGGCAAGGGGCTTCGGAGTGCGTCCGCCGCAGGCTTGCCCGTCGTCGCCGACTTCAGGCTGAATGCAATGAGGTGATAGACGGCATCAACTTACTTCATCCTCCGCAGCCGCGGCACGGTCCTGCGAATGCTGCTCAGAGGGAGGCCCATCGGGCCATCTTTTCTCAGGTGAAGGCTGCCCCAAGAGCCAACACCATGTATACGCGCCGTGAGGCCGCTCGTGAGCTTCTGGCTATCAACCTCTCGTACACAGGCGAGGAGGCTAAGAGTCCGGTGGTGCGGTATGACAGATCTCGAGTAGACATCCCCAGAGTGGGCTCGTCGGTGCCACGGGTCGAGGCTGTGATCGACCCCGTCGGGAGGGAGTATCTGCTGCACTTCGAGGCGCGCATGCTGCGCTCTGCTGATGAGTGGGGCAGGATCGTGGAGACCGAGCCCCCCATCACCCCTTACATGGACGAGTACCTGCGGAAGCATGACGACGCCTACGTGACGTTCGTGGGCGACCTCGTGTCCGCGGGTATGGTCTCCTTCACCTTCAACCCTAAGGACTTGGTGACGCCGTTCTTTGTCAGCAAGAAGAACGGCCAGCAGCGCTTGGTGCGGGGCGCCCGCATCCCCAACAGGCGCTTCAAGCACGCGCCGCCGCAGAGCATGGGCACTTCCCTACGGCAGGGTCTGCCTGCAGGACGACGTCGACGAGACTGGCAGCTTCAAGGAGACGCTGTACTGCGCGCAGGCCGACATCCGCAACTACTTCTACGCACTCGGTCTGAGGGAGGAGCTCGGACTGTTCTTCTCGCTCCCGCCGGTGCCCGAGGCCATGTTGTCACAGTGGGGGTGCAGCGCGGTCGACTCGCCCCAAGTGGAGCGCGGGGGTTGGGTTTGGCCCTTCCTCTCCGTGGTTCCGATGGGGTGGAACTGGGCCTTCTGGCTGGGGCAGCGCTGCAACGTCTTTCGATGCCTGCAGGCTGCCTCGGTGGGTCCTGAGCGCCTGCTCACGGACCATGGTCCAGTTCCGTCCCTGGGGGCGGGTAGGCCGCGTCTGCTCCCTTATTGTGATAACATAAACGTGGTGGGGACAGACCCGCACCAGTGTGACAATATGTTAGACGATATAATTTCCAGTTGGACTTCCTTCGGCGTTGAGATCCACGAGGTCGTACGAGCCTCGTCCACCTTCTCCAGCTTGGGCCGTCTCGTCGACGGGGTGCAGGGGATGGTCTTCTCACGCCCAGAGCGTACTGATAGGTTCAGGCAGGCTTGTCTCTGGCTTGAGCGGAGGCCGAGGGTCACAGGCAAGGAGATCGAACGTTTCGTCGGACACGTCATTGATCACATCATGCTTCGGAGAGAGTTGTTATGCATCTTGAGGGCACTCTATGACTTCATCAGAGAGCATTACGCAGAGAGGAGACGCCTGTGGCCCTCGGCAGCGGCGGAAGTTGCCCAGTGCCGGTCTTTGCTCAGCGTCATGTTCAGTAACTTGCGAATGCCATGGAGCCCGATTGTTGTCGCCAGTGACGCGTGCCTTTCCGGGATGGCCGCGGCAACAACCAACCTCCCTGTCTCCGTCGTCTCGTCCATCGGGAGAGTGAGTGAGAGGTGGCGGTACCGAGTGCCGACGGCCGTGTCTGCGAGGAAGTCTGCTCTTGCGTCCAGCTTCGGGGAGGGCTCCAACGAGGGCGCGGACGGGGACCCGTGCGAGGCCATCTTCGGGGAGGGCTCCAACGAGGACACCTACGGGGACCCGCGCGAGGCGATCGTCAGGGAGGGCTCCGAGGGGCCCCGCGGCTATGTCAACATGGATGTCTTCGGGGATGTCAACGCTGTCAAGAGCGTCGAGTACCCCCTAGGCTCAGAGGACCCCTGGGAGCTCAATCCGGACTTCGCCGAGGTCCCACACAGCGTGCTCAGCGAGGAGGCCTGGACCGAAGTGTTCGCGGCCCCATTCCACGTATCGGAAAGCATCACGGTCTTGGAGGGCAGGGCCAGCAACGCGGCCTCTAGGCACATCCTCGGGTCCACGAGGGCCTTCAACAAGCGGCACCTGAAGCTCGGGGACAATCTGGGGACCGTCTTGGCGCTGTCTCGGGGCAGGTGCTCAGCCTTTGGCCTGCTCCTGTGCTGCCGCCGAGAGGCAGCCTACTCCGTCGCAGCCAACGTTCGGTTCGAGAATCGCTGGATCCCGTCTGAGCTGAACCACTCGGACAAGGGCTCACGCCGGTGGGGGCGCCCGCATGGAGACCTCGCGGCTGCGCCGCGCGCCCGCGCGCCGAGTCGCCCAGGCTCGGGCTGCGCCCCGCAAGGAGCAGCTGCGAGGGCGGCCTTTCGCGGGGAGTTCCCGCGAGGAGCGATCGGCGAGGCGGGCGGCGGCCACAGGGACCTTCCAGCTGGTGCCCGCGGGCTCGCAGTCGTTCTTGGAGACCAACGCCGTGGCTCCCGACACCCAGAAGACCTACGCGGAGTGCATGGTCGAGCTCAGGCAGTTTGTCGCCGTGAACGGGCTCTCGCTCGACACCCCCGCGGCGGCCGACCTGGCGCTGACGAACTACGCCAACTTCGCCTGGGCCGAGGGTCTCGACAAGGGCGCGGTCCAGCGGGTCTACGCGGCGTTCGTCTCGGAGCACCCCGACTTTTCCCGGCGCGGTGGGCTGCGCCTCCCGCGGCTGTCGCGGGCGCTGCAGGGATGGGAGCGGCTCGACCCAGGAGTCACACGCCCCCCGATCCCTTGGGTGGTGACTGCTCTGATTGCCCAGGTCATGATCACGACCCTCAAGCAGCCAGCGGCCGCCCTGATGGTGCTCGCCATGTTCCTGGCCTACCTGCGCCCCTCCGAGGCGGAAGGCCTTCTGGAGCAGGACCTGGTGCCGCCCACGACGTCGTCGCCTTTCTTCGCCGTGAACCTGCACCCCAGCGACCGCGGCGAGGTGAGCAAGGTCAGGCTGTCCGACGAGTCCCTCCTGCTGGACTCCACGGAGGCGCTGTGGCTAGGGGGCGCGCTCCAGAGCTTGAAGGCGGGGCTGCCCTCTCGGCCGCTCTTCGACCTGACGGCGCTGCAGCTGCGGGACGTCTGGGCCGCCGCGCTCCGCGCCCTGGGCATCCCCAACAGGTTTGTGCTGTGCCAGCTCCGGCACGGGGGCCCCTCCCACGACCGGCTCCGACGGCAGCGCTCGCTGCCCGAGATCAAGGAGCGCGGAAGGTGGGCCTCCGACAAGAGCGTCAGGCGCTACGAGGCCCACGCCCTCGTCCAGCAGCAGGAGGCCTCGCTGCCCCCCGCGCTGCTCAGGCGGGCACGGGAGGCGCCGGGCAAGCTCGAAGGGCTGGTGTTGACGAGCCTCGGGCTGCGCGGGCGGCGCAGGCGGCCCGCCGGCGGCCCCGCGGGCCTGCCGAGCAAGGCCCTCCGCGCCGCTTCGGGCCGCCGCCCGGTCTCAGCTCAGGGATCCCGCCCTTCGCCGAGCTCACGTGCGGGTCCGCTCACCTCGCGGCCGCCGTCGGCGAGTGCGGGCTTGCTGCCGAGGGCTGGGACTACATCGACGGGGCTGCGGCCGACCTCGAGGTCCCCGCAGTGATCGAGGGCTTCCGGCAGCGCATCCGCCAGCGTCGACTGTGCGGCCTGCACTTCGGCCTGGATTGCAAGACTTGGTCGAGGGCCAGAAAGAATGACGGCCTTGGGCCGCCGCCGCTGCGTAGTGACCAGCATATTTTTTGCCTGCCTGCTCTCGCTCCCGCCGATCAGAGGAAGATAGACAGCGCTAATGTAATTTTCAGAAACATCCTAAGCCTGGTCGAGGAGGCCGTCGCCGCCAACCTTTTCGTGCTGATTGAAAATCCTGCCTCGTCCAGGCACTGGATGACGCCGCAATTGCTTGATTTGGCTAATGCATACAAGGCAAAGTTCCATCGTGTGGATTACTGCCAGTACAACGTGCCGTGGCGGAAAGCCACGATCTTTCTGACTTTTAACTTGCCAGAATTAGATGATGTTCTGCTCACATGTTCAGGAACACAAGCTCGCTGTGGTGCCTCCGGGAAAAAACACATTACCCTGCGAGGTAAGGACTCCCAGGGAAATTTCTGGACGCCCCGCGCCTGCCCGTATCCGCCCGCCCTCGGCACCGCGCTGGCGAAAGCGATCAGCCAGCGGGCCAATTCACTATTTGGGGGTGGGTAGGGGCTTCAGTTTGGAGGCAGCGGAGCTGCTGGCGTCTCGTGCCGCCTGCCGAGCAGGCGATCCCGATTCAGAGCTTTTGAAGTGGTCATAAGCAGTTGGCCCCGGCAAAATGTAATGAGCATCGTCGTCATTTTGGCATGGGGAGTAAAGCGTGAATCATGTGTAGAGCTCGCTCTTGAATGATTAGCGGTACGTTGAATGCCGACATGTGTTTCCGTATGCATATATGCTCAAGTTTTTTAGCGGCCCGCCGTCCTTCCCTTTTCTCCTCCTTCCTCTTCTTCCTTCTAGGGGCTTCAGTTTGGAGGCAGCGGAGCTGCTAGCGTCTCGTGCCGCCTGCCGAGCAGGCGATCCCGATTCAGAGCTTTTGAAGTGGTCATAAGCAGTTGGCCCCGGCAAAATGTAATGAGCATCGTCGTCATGTTGGCATGGGGAGTGAAGCGTGAATCATAAAATTTTTAATTTTCAGAAAGCGCTTGTACATAAAATCTAAAACATTTGAACTTGAGGTTTTTCCTTCTCTTTCTCCTCCTCCTCTGTTTTCATGTATTTTTGATTTTTTCTTTTTTATATTTCTTATTGTTTCTTCTTATTTTTGTTGTTGCACATCGCTTTCTCCATTCCTCCGCCCGCCTGAACTTTATTATCGCCGCGGTTGATGATCCAGGGGCACCGAGGCGGATGAGCTATTCCGAGGATGTCTCAAGCGAAACAAGCATATACTCGAGGATGTCTCAAGCGAAACAAGCATATACTAAAGGATGCCTCAAGCGAAACGATACGTTTCTTAAGGATGTCTCGAGCGAAAACAGCAATTGCTCGAGGATGTCTCAAGCGAACCGAGAGGTTCGACGAGGATGTCTCAAGCGAAACGAGCGATTCGTCGAGGATATCTCAAGCGAAACAAGTAGACGAGGATGTCTCAGAGGATAAGGAGGAGGAGGTGGAGGAGGGAGGAGCCGCGGCGAGGCCGACCGAGCAGACCGAGCTGAAGGTCGTCACAGGCGAGGAGCCGTGGAGCTACTCCACCGAGCCTGGCCGAGGCATCGAGCCGAGACTGGCCAAGGAGAGACTCGACGCGGTTGCGAGCTGGCCCGAGAACGTCCCCCCGATTCCCGACTGGAGCGCACTGGACGGCGAGTGCCTTATTCTTTTTGTTTACTTTTTTTTTTTTATTTTATTTTTTCTTATTTTTTTTTTTTTTTTTTTTTTTTGTTTTTTTTTTTTTTTTTTTTTTTTGTTGGTTTTTGTTTTTTTTTTGTTTTTTTTTTTTTTTTTTTTTATTTTCCGAGTCGAGGACTTGCCGAAGGACTACGCGGACGACGAGAACCCCTGCCTCCTCGAGCTTGCAGGGCTACACCTCGAGCTCACAGACGAGCAGCGAGACATGCTCAGGCCGCCCGAGGAGCGCATCAAGGAGATCCAGTTCCCGCACGCCCTCACGGACCGAGTGCGCCACCGGCGAAAAAAACGCAAGGAGAAGTGGGCGAGCAAGTTCCGAAGCCAGTACGTGGGCAAGCTGGCGGCCAAGTGGAACAAGGCGAAGCGCAACCAGGATGGCCGAGACGCCCTCGACAGCAAGAGCCGAGGCATCGCCAGGGCGAAGCTGTCGGGGCGAGCCCCCAAGCCGATGGGGAGCTTCGCAGAGAAGTTCAAGCAGAAGGGGAAGGCCAAGCGGAACCAGAGCGCCCAGGACAAGAAGAGAGGCCAAGCGGGCCTCAAGGAGTGCAAGGACTCGCCCTGGCACGGCGAGAGCATCCGCGTCAACGAGGAGTGCGTCCACGAGGGGAGGCGCGGGAGAATCCAAGACGTCTGGAGCGTCATGGACACCGAGGGCGAGTACCAGTTCCGAGTGCTCGAGGTCGAGACGTCGGCGATCTTCCAGATCCGCTCCAGCCATGCTCGAGGGCCAATTGGGCGCGAGCGGAAGCCGAGCAGAAGGGCCAGCGGAAGCCGAGCGGAAGTTGGCGCAGAAACCGAGCGGAAGGGAACTCGCGCGGAAGCCGAGCGGAAGGGCAGCGGAAACCGAGCGGAGTTCGCCCCCATCCGTCGGTCCTCGAGCTTGGGAGGTCGTGGTCGAGGAGGAGTGGACGAAGGCCAAGCCCGCCAAGATGGATTACCGAACCCTGAGGAAGGCCAGGCGCACCGAGCTGGCCAAGCACTTAGCCATCACCAACTGCGAGTTCGTCGAGAAGAACAGGACCCTCGAGCTCGGCACGATGAAGGCTCTCATTGGCGAGATCGCGGAACGAGTTGGCCAGCCGCCAGGCGTCGAGCTAATCGAGCCGACGATTGCAGTTCTCTGGGCTCGAGAAGACCATGGCGACGACGCGGCCACTGCCGAGGCGCAAGAGGAGCATAAGGCCTGGCGCGAGAGGATCGAGAACGCCAAGGTTCTGCTCATCTGCGTCTGGTCCGACAACCCGATGCACTACCCGTACCTCAAGGTGACCAAGGAGGAATTCCAGGACGTGGCCATCGAGTACCGAGACTCTCTCAAGGTGCCGTCCGAGTCCGCCAAGGAGGCGGCCACGAGAATCTTGCGCAAGCTCTTTGGGCCTGAGGCGGAGTGCCCCCCTCCGAGCAACTCGAGATGCCAAGTGGATGGGTGGTCCTGCGGGTTGTGGGTGACGAGGTGGTTCGAGCGCGCCCTGCGCGAGCTCCGCGGCGAGGGCCGCCAGCCGCCAAGCAGCATCAGCGACATCTGCGCCCGAGGTAACGAGTGGATCGAGAAGCTGAAGAACGCGAGCGACGCCAAGCCCAAGGGCAAGGCCAAGGCCAAGGCCAAGGGCAAGGCCCCGGATCCGTTCGTGCCCGAGCCCAAGCACGCCAACCTCGAGGCAGCACTGCAAGCAGCCAAGGAGTGCAAGAAATGCTTGCAGCTCAAGGATGGCAGTAAAGGCTGCCGAGCCTGCATGGGCGAGCACTTCGAGCAAGTGCGCCACAAAGGCTTTTTGCCGAGGACAGCCAAGGACTTCGAGCTCGCGTGCATGAAGCTTTAACCGCGAGAACCATCGAGCGAAAAGAACATATTTTCGAGGAGGTCCCAAGCGAAAAAACACAATTATTTCGAGGACATCTCAAGCGAAATAAACAATAGTTTGAGGGTGTCTCAAGCGAAATAAGCCATAGTTTGAGGATGTCTCAAGCGAAATACGCAATAGTTTCAGGATGTCTCAACCAATAGTTTGAGGATGCCTCCAGCGAACTAAGCAACAGTTTGAGGATGTCTCACGCGAAACACCATTAGTTCGAGGATGTCTCAAGCGAAATAAGCAAGTTAGTTTGAGGGTGTCTCAAGCGAAATAAGCAATAGTTTGAGGGTGTCTCAAGCGAAATACGCAATAGTTTGAAGATGTCTCAAGCAATAGTTTGAGGATGTCTCAAGCGAAATAAGCAATAGTTTCAGGATGCCTCAAGCGAAATACGCAATAGTTTCAGGATGTTTCAGGCGAAAGCAGCAATAGTTTGAGGATGTTGCAAGCGAAAAAAAACAATTATGTCGAGGATGTCTCAAGCGAAATAAGCAATAGTTTGACGGTGTCTCAAGCGAAATAAGCAATAGTTTCAGGATGTCTCAAGCGAAATACGGAATAGTTTCAGGATGTTCAGGCGAAATCAGCAATAGTTTGATGATGTTTCAAGCGAAAAAACACAAAGGATGTCTCAAGCGAAATAAGCAATAGTTTGACGGTGTCTCAAGCGAAATAAGCAATAGTTTGTGGATGTCTCAAGCGAAACAAGGGATTTGCCGAGGATGTCTCCAGCGAGATAAGCCATTGTTGAGGATATTTCTATGAAGACTAAACGCCAAGGATGTCTCAAAACGTGCTCGGCTTGGTCTCCTCTTGATCATCTCTTACTTCGAGATTATGCTGAGGTCTGGTGGGCTACTTTTATTATCTCCCCCTGAACCCCGAACTTTATTATCCCCTAGTGTTTATTCTCGAAGGTATTCGGTTACTGGAACCTTAGCAAGGCGAAGGACCGCGACAGGCTCCGCTACCTGCTCTTCGAAGCGCTGAGGCCCGCATCGGCTCACTGGGCGCTGCCCTGCTCTCCATGTGGAGCAGCCTCGGCGGCCATCAGCCAGACGCGGCCGCCTTCGCGCTCGCGTCCTTCACGATGGACGGCCTCGAGCACCTCGACGCGGCGGGCTGCCTGGGCTCCTTCGAGGGCCCGCGGGCCCCCGCGCTCGTGGCGAGGAGGGTGGGAGTACGTGCGCCCCGACGGCTGCATGTTCGGCTGCCAGAGCCCCGACGAGGAGCCCATGGCCATGCAGAAACCCCACATCGTCGTGGGCAACTTCACGCTGAAGCTCCTGGGCGCGCAGTGTCGCCGCGGGGTCGTCAAGCCTCTTGCTGGCAGCAGCGGGGCCGACCCGTGCGGACCTACCGCAGCCGCGGCCAGGCCGGGGCCTGAGGCTGGCAACCTCATCGTCGGGGCCACGCGACCGCTGGACGGGCCTCGCCTGCCCTGCGAGCCAGGGCGCACGGAGGCGCCGACGACGGGCGCGACGAGGTCGGTGAATAAGCTGAGCGAGGCCGAGATGGCGGAGCGCAAGGCGCGGTGGGAGCCTGCGGCTGCTGCTGCGAAGGCGCGCTGGGCCGAGCTGGCCAAGAAAGGCGACTGGGACCTGGACCGGTCCGGATGCTGGGCCAATGCTTCCGCTTCGCGGAAGTTAAGGTGCCCCCGCGGCGCTCGGCGGCGCACGGGGCCCAGGTGCTGGAGGCAGTGGGGCTCGCCGGCGAGTGCCCGGGCTACAAGCACCTGGGGAGCGAGGAGCTGCAGGCGCTGGAGGAGATGATCAGTCTGCAGGCCGAGGCGTTCTGGGTTAAGGGTTCTGCGCGGACAGTCTTGCGGGGCTTCGAGCCCGACGTCGCAACGACCGGCCTGCCTGCGCGAGGCCCGCCGATTCGCCTGAAGGGCCCCGAGGCGACCATCGTCCGCGAGGGGCTCGAGGCTGGCGTCGAGCAGGGCCTGTGCTCGCGCGGGGCCTCGCCTTGGGGCAGCTGGGCCTTCCCGACCAAGGGGCATGCCAGTGGCCGTCGGCGTCGCACAGTTGCGGGCTACCGCATGGTCAACCGCACGATGGTGATGTTCGTCTACTTCAGTCGCAGGTGCCGCGACGTCAAGGGCGAGCTGGTCGGCTGCGCCTTCATCTCAGGCGTGGGCGGGGCCCGCGGGATACTTGCTCGTGAACACCGAGCGCGCGAAGGAGATCCTTGCGGTGCTGGCCGACTGGCTGCCACCTTCCGGAGGTGCTGCAGCTCGGCCCCGCCGCGGGGCCTTTCGACTTCCAGTTCTGCACCGACGAGCTGTTCACTGGCACTGGCCGTGGGCGCTACGGGTCGGTCTGGAAGAAGTACATCGACGACTTCTGGGCTAAGACGGGTCAGTGGCTGGGCGGCCGGGCTTACACTGACCGGAAGCACGAGGAGATGCTGGCAGCAGCATATCCGCCGGCGGCGACTTCCAGACCGCTCGGCGGTTCCTCGGCGGCGGCAGGCTTCCCGGCTACGCGCAAGGCCAGCCAGAGCTACGACCACGCTAAGGGCATGCTCGTGGGCCTGTGCGTGGCACAATCGGTCTCGGGCGCGGCCGCAGTCGAGAGCGGTGGCATCGCCCTGGCGAACAGCATCCGCATGTGTTGGTGGTGGCGGCCGCGGTGCGCACGGCCTCCCTCGTGGATGAAGGTCTTCGCGCTAGCGTGAGGCTGACCCAGGACATCCTCGAGGCGGCTGGCGACCTCGTGCAGAGCGTGTCCTGGGACATCGGCCTGGTCTTCCACGACGTTTGCGAGATGGTGATCTTGGTGGTTCGCTTCGCGGTGGTCGTGCAGTGCTGCTACTTCGTCTACCGCAACCGCTTGTGGCTTGCTGGGCTCACGCGGCTGGGGCGAGGCCTCACCGCTGGCGAGGCGGCGCAGCGCGGGCTCTCGCCCTGCGCGCCCGCCTGCGCGGCAGGCGACGGGCCCATGCCGATGTCGGATCCCATGGCGAGAGCGGCTGCGGTTAGCGGGGGCCCGAGCGGGGCGACTTCGTCCGGGGGCGGGGCGGCGAGCCCAGTGGTCGCGCCGTGGCGGGAGGCGCCTTTCGAGGCGCCCGCCAGCTTGAAACTTGACCGACTCCCCGCCCCGCGCAGAGGTACCTCGGACGCAGATGCACGCGGCTGTGGCGCTGAGGAGGGCGCGGATCGGCAGCGAGCCGCTCGCGGGCGCGACCTCGCTGCCGGCGGCGCGGTGGCGTCAGCGCGGCCGGTGGAGGCGGCTCGCGGTGCCCGCCCGTCGGTCGCGGACAAGCTGTGCGAGCTCGAGGTGGAGGTCACTGACAGCCGTGGAGTGCGCTATGACGCGCGGCTTCGCGCCCGGCGGCTGGCGTCGGCGACGCCCCCGGCGTCGCGCTCGTGCGCGGGCTTCGTCAGCGGCGGCGGCGGCCCCTGCAAGCACGTCAGCGCGGCGTGGAACTGCGCGGTGGACGGCATCTTCGGCGAGCTGGTGGAGCTGGCGTTGACGGCCGGCCGCCGTGAGGGCGTTGCAGGGGCTTCCCCGCGTCGCGCAGCCCTGGGGTCGAGCGACCCCTTGGGCCCGGCGGGCGCCGCGCGAGAGCTCCAGGACTCGGAAGCGGAGGTTGCCCGCCTGCGCGAAGAGGTCCAGCGGCTGAAGGCGCGGGTGGCAGCTTCCTCCGCGCGGCGGCGCGGCGCGGCTCCTCTCGGCGGAGGAGTCGCTGGCGGCTTGGGCGCGGGCGTGCGAGGAGGCGGAGAGCTATGTGCACGTAGCGTGCTTCATTTTCGACCAGCCAGGCGCGGTGGCCCACCTGGAGGCTGCGCGGAGCCGCGGGTTGACGGCGCGCCTGGCGTTTAGCGGCCGCGACAAGGGCCCGGCGAACAACCGGGGGCCGCGCCTGCAGCGGCTCCGCGCGCGCGGCTGCGAGGCGCGGGTGCGCCCAGGCTCGGCTGCGCGCGAAGGCGTTGATGACGGGGCGCGAGGTGGTGATCGGAAGCTGCAACTTCACGGCGGCCAGCCTCAACAACGCGGAGTGCAGCGCGGCGGTGCAGCAGCTGTCCGAGGAGGCCATGCTCGAGGAGAAGGCCTGGTTCGAGCAGCTCTTCGAGGCGGCGGTGCGCGCTTCGCCGACGGCATCGGGCAGACGCTGCCGCCCTCGCCGGCGCGCTGAGCGCTCGGCAGCAGAGGGCTTGGCTTTTCTGTGCTGCAGTCTCGCCGGGGCCGAGAGGGCCGCGCTGGCCGCAGCTCGGCGACAGAGGGTTCGAGCTTTCCGGCGCTGCAGGCTCGCCGGGGCCGAGAGGGCCGCGCGGGCCGCTGTTCGGCGACCGATGGTTCGAGTTTCCGGCGCTGCAGGCTCGCCGAGGCCGAGAGGGCCGCGCGGGCCGCAGCTTGGCAACAGAGAGCTCGAGCTTCCGGCGCAGCAGGCTCGCCGAGGCCGACAGGGCCGCGCGGGCTACCGCGCCGCTAATTCTTATCAAGGCCATTTCGGCTTCGTCTACTTGACGTCCTCTGGTCAGCAGAGGCTCGATGCATGTTCGCCGAGCTCGGCGAATTCGAAGATTTTGCGCGCCTGCTTCGCACGGCGGAGTGGTGGGCGAACCTCCACTCCGGCGCGCTGGAGCTCAGCCTGGGCTGCTCTGCTGGGCGCTGCGGAGGCGCCCGCGCCGCGGAGTGCGTTCCTCGAAGGGAGGGGGACGTGAGAGTTCCGAGGCGCACAGGCAGCGGGAGGAGGCGCTTGCTGTCGTCGTTGCGCCTCGCCGCCAGCCTCGCCGCCAGCCTCGCGCCGCGCTTCCGCGTGGCTCAAGGTGGAAAAAGGCCCTCCTCCTCCTGAAGGGTGCTCGGAGGAGGGGCCCCCCAGGGTTCCCGGGCCCGCAGGGCCCGCGGGGGCTCGGGCCAGCCCGAGTGGCCGGCTTTGCAGGCCCCGAGGGGCCGAGGCTCGCGCGGAGCCTCATATCGTAGTAGTAATAGTAGTAGTAGTAGTAGTAGTAGT